TATTCTTTCTCTCTCTCTCTCTCTCTCTCTCTCTCTCTCTCTCTCGAGTAAGCTATAATTTATAGTATTATAACAATGGCAATGAAGAAATTACATTCAGGCCTTGTACTGGCTGCCTGCAGCTGAGCAAGGACCCCAGTGTGAATGTGTGAGAAAGACAGCACCAACTGTGCTATATCTGTGTGCATGATCTTTCTGTGTGAACATGTCTATGATCATGTGTGTGTTAATATGTGTGTATGAGGCAGAGTGTAAGCTAGCACCTGAGTCTTCTCGGCTGCTCTGACACCATCTTCTCTTAACACACACACTTACACACACAGCAACATCAACACATACTGCTTGTTACTTCAACACACCGTCACATTAAATCTTCTCCACTTACTCATGACAAGTCAATTCTATCCATTTATTCACAGTGTTGGCAGCCCTTTAATGCTGATCTGATCCTCTGTGGTTAAAAAAAAGGGAATGGAGAATGGAGAAAAATCTGAGATCAGCATGAAAGGGTGACCCTGCACCTTAATTTCTCCAATTATCAACTATAACACCATAATAACAGATAAATACAACAAACCCTCACCCACCCCTTCCAACACACCGTCACATTAAATCTTCTCCACGTACTCATGACAAGTCAATTCTATCCATTTATTCACAGTGTTGGCAGCCCTTTAATGCTGATCTGATCCTCTGTGGTTAAAAAAAAAGGAATGGAGAATGGAGAAAAATCTGAGATCAGCATGAAAGGGTGACCCTGCACCTTAATTTCTCCAATTATCAACTATAACACCATAATAACAGATAAATACAACAAACCCTCACCCACCCCTTCCCATTCTGTTTCATAAATATAATCATCACAATATCATAATAGAAATCCACATACACATAGCTCCCTAAACACAATCATATTCCATCATCATTATCCTTGTTTCAATTCATCGTTAAATTCAGACATACTTACGTTCACAAAAAAAACTTGCATTACACTGACAAATATAATTGCATATCAAACAGCAAAATTACACAGGTGCAGGATTATAATCACATAAAGAAAAACAACAGGCATACTTGGACTCATTCTGTGTTGATCGCGAGTCAGTGAATGATGTTTCTTTTTGTTATGGTCCATTATAGATCTTTGTTATGTCTGCTGTCTGTCATCTCTCTGGCAGCATGGCCACTCTGGTAACAGTCTTAGCAGAGCTCCATCATGACATGAAACACAAAAAGGCTGATTTGGTCATGATAAATTGCCAGAAAGCGAACTTAAACTTTAAGAATGTGTCTTAATGCCTGAGATGTTTATAGTAATTTGTTAGTCAGTGCTTGTAAAGAAAAGACGGTCGCTTCACCTGTGGTTTGAGGGAACAGATATGCAGCTACATAAAATTAGCCACCAGTTGGTCAAGATGCACTTTAAAGATTTTGAGGCTTTCCCAGTCAAGTAAATGGGTATAATGTCCATGCCAGCAAACTATATACATCCTCAAAAGATTTATATGGTCCTTAAGCAAAGCTTTTTTTTTTTCAAAGACCCACTTGTCTCAGTTTGTGCTGGTTTTTCTGTGCAGTCAAATATGATGACACATTTGACAGTTTAATGAGATTTCAAATGTATACAAGGACTGTTTATACCAACATTGTTACATTGTTAAATGTTATTACAATTTGAAATAACTGTTGTCTATTTTAATATTACTTTCAAATGTAATTTATTATTGTGATGAAAAAGCTGAATTTTCAGCTGCCATTACTCCATTTTTCAGTGTCACATGATCGGTCAGATATCATTCTAATATGCTGATTTGGTGCTCAATTAATTATTATTATAAGTTGAAAACAGTTGCGCTTCTTTTTTTTCCCAGGATTATTTGATGAATGTAAAGTTCAGAAGAACAGCATTTATTTGAAAAAGAAATCTTTTGTTATTATAAATGTCCCTTTGATCAATTTAATGCATCCTTGCTGAATAAAATTGTTAAAAAAAAATCTTACTGACCTTAAACTTTTGAATGATAATTTATGTAAATAAGATCCCTAGCCTTGCATTCTGTGGGCCCATAATTTTTGCATCAAATTTCTTAGTGGAACAGGCTCTTTAGTGGAAAGTGCTTTAATCATAGAATAAGTGTTTCACAATTAATGCCACGTATGTGTTAAAAGAGTACAAAAACATGCTTATTGAAACTTGACTGCTGTTGCTTAATACAGTACTTTTCATTGCTCATTGGGCAGGCAGACCTGGCTCTACTCGCATAACACTTAATAACCGTTATCTGATCTCTGTAATAGCAAATAGAGGTGCTTAGGAACTGCTCTAAATTACCAAACTGGTCAAAATGGGTATGCATTTGTGCCTTGGTACAGTTAAAACTACACAAGCTTTGTGTCAGTGGCAAAAATAATAAAAAAGGAAACGTTGTAATTACTGTAAATACAAATAATTTAGACAGTATCAAATGGAACACTTCAGCATATGTATTTATAGACTCTGGCATTTAATACAAAATAGGATGTTTGTTGGATTGATAATGTGTGAACAGTCTCATAAACGAGTACAGTCGCTACTGATATCCACATACTGCCGGCCCCAGATACGCTGCGATCTGATTGGCTAACTGACTCCAAGTGGCCTCTGCTGGTAGATTTCGTAACTACACTTCTGAGGGCACAAGGCAAATTTTTCGGAAGCAACACATAAGTTGCACATATTTCATTATAGCAGATTTTTTTATCAGTGACTAATATATTTTAAGCAACTGTGCATGTTCCCTGCAGTGACATCAGCCAATCAGAGCTGCCATGATGTCATTTCCCAGCACCTCCAGTTACATGGCATTTATGGCTCAGGCGATTGGCAAAAAAAAAAACCTGTATGTGAAATTGAGGGGCCATGAGCAAAGATGGCAGAATTCTACTTCTGGGGTGTCCTGCACCAGCCGAGCAGCTGCCATTGAGATGTATGGGAATGTTAACGCATAGCTTTCTCCTCCTGCTCTCTGAACGGCCTCCAGCAGTCACGGCTTTACAAAATGGCTCTGTATGTGCTCCACAAAGCATTCACCTGTGTGTGTGTGTGTGTGTGTGTGTGCGTGTGCGTGCAAACTCTGATCTCACACACAAGCACAATATACACACCTCTGTAAAACTACCGGTATACGGAGTCATAGGTGGTTGTCGGTTAGGTACTACATCACTGACTGAAAACTGAAGATGGAGAGAAGGGAATGAAATGGAGAAGAAACGTTTGGTCATCATTCAGGGTGCTGGCAGTGAGGGGAGGGAACAGTGAGCAGGTTACCAGGCTTTGTTGTGCTTCGTAAAGGTGAAACTGGTCCGATAAATACTAAATAAACGTGTGCTGTTGTATTTAGGACAGGTATACAGAGGATTCCAGTAGGTTAAGTTAAATCGTTGTAGAGATGAAGTCTGTTTCTTTTCTGCTCTCTTTCTTCTCGTTCTCCAATCAGTAACGGTCAGCCGTATACTTCACTTTCATCACATTATGTTGCTGGACACATTATGTTGTCGATCACCTCATCCAGGCGCTGCTGTTGCTGGTGATGGACATGATACTGCAGCGCTTTTTGACAATCATGTTGATGTACGCCTTCATGATCTTAGTGATTTCACCCACCTTAAAGCACAAAACAAAACAAACTTGTTAATCAGTATGTTAAAAATCACATGCTAATCCTACCATGGAAAAGAGAATATAGTGACTAAATAAGAAGCACTAGACTTATAGATTCAATTTAGAGCAAATACTGTAAAATGTGTCTTTATTTCCTGTTGTAATATATGTTTATTTAATTTAGTGTACATCCTCAAAAGATTTAAATGCTCCTCAACCATTAAAACAAACAAGTATACAACATTTTGTCCAACATAGCACTGATAACAGAGGCACAGAAGTGTATTACCTGAGACGTCTCGAAGAACATCTCTCTTTCATCAACAATGATTTTGTATGTGCTGGGCTGAGGTGCTCCGAAGAAAACAATGTGCTCATACTGGAAAGTTTCGAGTGGTTTAGGTTCACCCCGTTTGTACACAGAGACGTTTTCAGCACTGACTCCCAGCCACAGATCATGAGGGAAGCCTCCTTCCTTACACTACAGACAGAAAAATAAAAACAACACATGTAATTAGTAATGTCAATTAACATCAGTGGCTAAATTACTTACTGTAACATTAAGGAAAACTGAAAATGAGTCTGTTAGAATTATAGGTATATTTGTTCCAAATGTATTGTGACAAGTTTGAAATAACATAGCACTTTGGGGCTTGGCTTAGAGTTAGTAATGATAAATATTGCTACTTTACAAGGCTGTAACCATATATTTATGATTTATACCTCCACATCAAACAGTGTGGACCCGTATCCTGGCCACTCTTTGATGATGGTCATGTAGCTGAGCATGGCCTGGTGCTGAGGCATGCCCTGTAGACGGCTCCATTTCTCCAGCACGCTGGTCAGTGTAGCTGACATCTCCTCCTTTACAAACATCTCCAACATCTGTTCCTCCTCGACACGCTGTTTCTTCAGCGATCCCGTCTTGAAGCTGCGTCTCAGTGTCCCGTCTAGGAAGTTGGTCTTCCGGCGTTCTAAAGTGTGACCTCCTGGCCCTACTATACCAGCCCCGGGTACTCCAGCACCCCCTGCTTTAGTGGACTGGAGTATGCGGGTGCGAAGTCGTCCAACAGGGTAGACGCTGCTTAGGCTCCAGGGTGTACGGGCCACGTCACCGTGGATGTACTGCAGTCGCAGGGCTGCTAAGTGCTGGAGGGTTTCCTCAAGGGCTGGGAAATGACCACTGATGAGACTCTCATGAGCCTAAGAGAGACGGTGAAAAAAGAGATAAATATGCCCAAATCAGATGGCCAATAAAGATGCCATAAAGATGCCCAAATCAGTGTCCATTTGCCCAAGTTGGCCAATCATGCTATATCACAAAAAGAGGGAAAAAAACTGGGGAAAAACATGACACTGAAACATATCTTCCCTTCTATTCCATTTATTTTTGGTTTGAATTGTAGAAAATACAAGTGAAAATTTTATTTTTTACTATAATATAGTTTTATATAATGAAACAATGTAAATTGTTTGATTTTTGCAGCTAGCGTGATATATATATATATATATATATATAAATCTAATTACAAAATATAATTTTTAAGATTTCTATAAAATATGCTCATAAAGTGGTAAAAACTATCAAAGATACTCTTAGGTTAGTTGAAATGAAGTGTGGCATTGCAAAGCATTTTTTCTGCCAATTGTTGTTAGAGAAAGATTTGATTTTTGGAGTCAAAGTGATGTGAAGACTGTAAATAAGGTTTTGCATATTCTAGGTAAATTCCATTTAAAAAACATTCCAACACACATGATTAGATTAGAAACATTTTTAAAGCGGGTCTGACTATGTGATTTAAATCAGGTGAATCCATAGTAAGAATTAATGGCTATAAAAATTTTACAAAATACAAATAATTCATTCACCTGCTCAAACATGAAGGCAAATTCTACTCCCTCTTTGGGCATGCTTTCCACATCAAGAAAGCAATAGAGCTTGAAATATAGCCTCCAGGGCCCTTCCTCCTCCTCTTCTCCACTACCTGCCAACCTGAAAGAGCAGAGGAGTGCAGATGACCCTCAGTCATAAAGCCAACAGAAATAACATGTACAGAAATATAGGTTTTATAGATGCTATAGATAGTTTTAAATACAGAAATGGAGCAAGCATTCATTCAAAATCATCTAATCAACATAGACCATATGAACTGTTCATTACTTCTCAAACTTCGCGAGCACATCTGCCACAATTACGCGGCTTTCTATGGCCCGACTCTCCACCTTATTGTGTTCAAACAAAGAAAACATGTTCCTGCTGTTTTCCATCGCCAGACCACGAATCAGCTTCTCCACCACCTTGACACAGACAAATAAGATATCACTTTCATTCTAATTTGCAGGACATGCTATGTCACTTCATTATATATTTCAAAGCAGAGATGTTAAAATGATGTCTGAGTATGTTAATAAAATCGACAAAATTTCTATCTCTTCCTCTTACCTCTCCAGCTGTGGTGTGTGAGTTGATGGATATCTTGCAAGACCCTCCTCCATGGCAGTACACAGTAGTTGTCATTTCCTGTCTGTTCAGCAGGGCGGCGATCTCCTCCTGAGAGGGCACATACTCCCTGGTCTTTGTCTTCTTCAGGGACTCACCGATGAAGTGGGCATACTTCTCAATCTCAGTGCCAGGATAGCGTTCTCTAACTCTGAGGGATTATTCACAGAAAGAGACCCAAAAAACAGAGTGTGTATCAGATGACCCTTGAAATGGAAATATAACCATTATTCATCTCCAAGATGCTATTGAATGAGCATCTCTCTCTGTTACCTCTTCAAGTGGAATCGGAGGTAGCGCAGGATGGCGCGACTGGGCAGGAAGGTGCAGCTCATGCAGGTGAGCAGGTGCCAGTGTGCGCGGTTTGCAGGGCTGTTGGGTTGGGGCATGTGATTGGTCTGTTTGATCAGCTGACAGTACACCTCGTCTTTCAGTGGCCGCAGATCGTGGCAGGTCTGCAGGATGCCCTGGATGATGGCGACAGGGTCTGAAACTATCTCCATTTCCTGAAGAGAGTTAAAGATCTTCACAGCCTCATCCTGCAGGCTTCCATAACCCTTCTCCTTTTGCACTGCAGAAGGAAGGAGAAAGATATCTGTTAGTAAGATTATTTGCAAGAAAAAGAGAGGAAGATGAAGTAAAAATACAAAATGCATCTCTGCACTAACAGGAAACAGGGTTACTGTGTTGGATGTTTATGATAGTACATTTCTTATGTCACTTTCTGTGTGTTTTACATGTGCGAGTGATTTAGCTGATGGACGATACTCACGGCTTTCGCTGACCTCTCCGTATGGTAGTGGCAGAAGAGGTGAATGTAAGGGATGCTGGGTATATCTCAGAATGGGGTTTCTTCGATACATAAGTTCCACAGCCTCAGAGTTCACACTGTTTTCCTACACAAATGTCAGCAAAGGCAAAAGGAAAGGCCACGATTTATGTACCATTTTTATTAAACAACAGTTTTATCCATTCTAACCTTGAGTGCAAAAAACAGACTTATGTTTTAAAAACTGATTACCTTGATGTCCCTAATAAGTTGCTGGGTGGGCGTTTCAATGGGTGCCTTATTGTCAATGACGCCCTGAATGGCAGACACCCAGCGCATTGCTTCATTCAGCATCTTGGTGTACAGACGGTATGAATGTTTACGGCCATGAATTATGATGTTCCAGTAACCTGCAGTGTAACCAGACATCAGCATCACCATGTATCTTAGTTTATAGAGAGAAAAACAAATTCATAATTTCAACATTTTCAACATATGCTCATTATTCATAATAAATGCAAATTTAATGACATATAACCAACAATTTAAATACTTGTATTAGAAAAAAGTAAATTAAATAAGATTGCTGTTCGTATGTATAATGACTTCACCCAAGGCTGGAAGATTGTGTATTATGCATTTTTCAGCGAAATTTTTGTCTTTCTGTGGCTCTAATAAAACTAATACAGAGAGCTACAGTTCAGATTGCACTTTCTCTTTCCGTTTTGCTCCAAACTTCAAACTCATCAACGCCACTTTGTTCATTCCTGTAGTGAACCTTTGCCTGTTTTGAGATTAAATAAACTGTTCTGGACAGCCGCTTGAACTGAACACGATGCGTCCGGTGTGTGATACCTGGCAGTTATAGACGCGACGCGGTGCTGCGCTTTCTGTCCGCTGTGCTTTTTATTATTTTGATTGGATGATCATCAAGTGTTCCAAAATAAAAGCAAATAAAGTGTGAGAGTATATGTACAATATACATATGTATGTAATTTCAGTGCTATGGCCTTTGTGCAGATGTTTAAACGTGGCCATTTTTAAGCATGACTGTTTGGATTTATATGAAATGATAACACTTTACAATTTGTAAGATTCCATTTGTAACATTAACTAAGGTTAATTTAAGCTGTAGAAGTATTGTTCCTTGTTAGAGTGTGTTAATTTCAATACCAATACATTTTTCAATTTTAAAGTTGCATTTGTTAACATTAGTTAATCAACTATGAACTAACATTACAAATGTATCAATTTATAATTAATATTTCATATTAATATTTTTATTCTATTTAAAAAGCATGGTTCAGTACTTTTTTTTGGAATAAAGTTCAGCACTATTTAGTTTTCATTCAGTATCCATTTTAAAAAATATCGGTTGATTAATCGGTTATCGGCCAGTGTGGTCTAACATTTCCAAACAATTATTTTTAAACAATTATTTAAACTTTTTTTTTTTTTTGCTTCCTTATTTGTGAAACAAATGTGTGAAAAGAATTTTCTCTAAAGGTACATTCACACCAAGAATGATAACTGTAAATATAACTATAACAATAACTTTATTAGCATCCACACCAACAGAAGATAATGTTGCTTATTATAAACACACACTACATATATATTGTCTGCCACTTGAAATGCTTGAGCTCTTTAAGTCTGGTGGTTTCTGATTGGCAGTCAATGTTTTTTAGCGTTCATCAGCTGTAAAAAAAAAAAAATTCTGAAAGTGATTCCAAATATATTTTTCCTCTGTGTTGATATCATTATAGATATGGTGTGGACTTTCCTATTCTGTTCTATTACTTACTGAGCTGTAATTCCATATTATACTTTTAATAATATCATACTCAGTCACATCATATGGTGACCATATCATACTCACCTGTCTCTTTAAACTTTTTCTCCTCCGGCTGGACCACAGAGCACAGGCTGTTCAGAACCAGCGTGCCCATCTTAGATGCATTACGTTCAGAAGACTTGTAGTAGTCCAGAGAGTTGTTTGTCAAGACAAGCCAGCGCTTTTTTAGTTTGAGAGCAGAACTTTTGGCTCCTGCCTTCATCTCCTTGTGCAGCCATCCTGTGTCACAAAAGAACACAAAGACACACACAGTTTAAGGAAATGGTGACCAGTTACAGAACCTAAAATACACACTGTCTTTAATACAATAATATCAAATCCAAATACTCATGGACATGTTATATAACTAATCAACCACAAATAAAATGTATTTGGTGCCTAAATTCAGGTTACAACTCTGCTAAAGATGAATAACACACCTCTGACCAGAAACTCCTGTCCATCACTCTTGGAGTCTCCTTTGGGTTTCTGCAGCAGACTGATCCAGTGATGCATTTCCTCCGGCAGGTCTGAGTTACAGTGGATCACACGATTGGCTGTGATGATCACAAATGAATTGGGCCTATTTGAAAGAAAATAGAATTTGTGTTAGCACCAGATAAAAATGGTAACTTTAGACACTTTATATCTTCAGATATTTAGCCATACAAATTCAAATGTTAAAGGTAAAGTGTGTAACTTCTGTGCCATTAGCATAACATAAACATTAAAATATTAATATTTTGACAGCCAAAAAATGGCTCACTCATAATGGACCCTTTTCATAAACTGTGATGATAAGCTTCCCCAGTTATTAATGTAAATGTGACCCTGGACCACAAAACCAGTCATAAGTAGCACGGGTATATTTGTAGCAATAACCAAAAATACATTGTATGGGTCAAAATTATCGATTTTTCTTTTAAGCCAAAAATCATTAGGATGTTAAGTAAAGATCATGTTCCATGAAGATATTCATGAAGATATTTTGTAAATTTCCTACCGTAAATATATCAAAAATGTATTATCATTAGTAATATGCATTGCTAAGGACTTCATTTGGATAACAGGTCTGAGTTACAGTGGATCACACGATTGGCTGTGATGATCACAAATGAATTGGGCCTATTTGAAAGAAAATAGAATTTGTGTTAGCACCAGATAAAAATGGTAACTTTAGACACTTTATATCTTCAGATATTTAGCCATACAAATTCAAATGTTAAAGGTAAAGTGTGTAACTTCTGTGCCATTAGCATAACATAAACATTAAAATATTAATATTTTGACAGCCAAAAAATGGCTCACTCATAATGGACCCTTTTCATAAACTGTGATGATAAGCTTCCCCAGTTATTAATGTAAATGTGACCCTGGACCACAAAACCAGTCATAAGTAGCACGGGTATATTTGTAGCAATAACCAAAAATACATTGTATGGGTCAAAATTATCGATTTTTCTTTTAAGCCAAAAATCATTAGGATGTTAAGTAAAGATCATGTTCCATGAAGATATTCATGAAGATATTTTGTAAATTTCCTACCGTAAATATATCAAAACCAAATTTTTGATTAGTAATATGCATTGCTAAGAACTTCATTTGGACAACTTTAAAGGTGATTTTCTCAATATTTAGATTTTTTTGCACCCTCATTTGGATAACTTTAAAGGCGATTTTCTCCAATATTTTGATTATTTTACACCCTCAGATTCCAGATATTCAAATAGTTGTATCTCGGCCAAATATTGTCCTATCCTAACAAACCATACATCAATGGAAAGATTATTTATTCAGCTTTCAGATGATGTATAAATCTCAATTTTAAAAAAATTACCCGTATGACTGGTTTTGTGGTCCAGGGTCACAAATAAAGTATTTTTTCATTTTCATTTATTTGTTACTTTAAAAAAAATTTTTTTTAAATTATATTATCTTGTCATTAAATCACAGAAAATTAACACTGCTACATAAAAGTTTCTAGTACAACAGCTGAGGGAGTAACGGCAAATTTGAAGCAAATGGGAACGCAAAATTAAAAATTAAAACTACAGAAATAGAAAAAAAAATAACACAATTCAGCTTCAAGTGCTGTAAGTAATTTCAGCCGTTGATTTTATTCTTGACACTCGCCTGTCAGGATTGTCTGAAGCACAAACTGAATCAATCAATCCAACATCCAGTGTGCCCTGAGAGAAAGAGAGCAAAGCCAGTTGTTGAAATAGAAAGGAGATTTAATGCTGAAAGTGCACGAAGTGTAAGGACACTGACCACAGCGTTCTTTGGGTTGGCCTGCTCATGAGACATCTCCAGCAGCTGCTCTGGGGTGGCATTGTGGACCCGACTCAACACGGTAAACCAACCACTAAGAGAAAGAGAGCAAAAGAAAGAGTGCAGAGTGAGGATGAGCAGTTTGGTCCAATTATGGAAAACACATGGAGATAAAGGTGTCAGCATACCTGGCATCCTCTGGTGACTCGGCAAACACCTGGTATGTTCTCTCATCTGTCACAATATTCAGAGCATTCTCTTTCTCATGATTGTCCACAATCTCCCTAAAAACAGGAAAAAACTTGATAAAACCTGATCCAGGTTTTCTGTAAGTTGCAAACAACAATCACAAAAACTGTCTTCGTATTTGACATAGACACCTAATGATACCACAATACGGTTTCCTATTTCTCTCATACTTACTTGGCTGAGCGGATGTCAATTGTCCCTTTCAGCTTTTCCTCGCTATCATTCTCAAAGTACATGAGCTTGGTGTCACGCAGAACGAACCAGCGCATCTTCCAGATCCTGCGAGAGAGAGTGGATAGACCGCCGCCCTTCTTGTACAGCCAGCCTGACTTTAACGACTCCTGTTTAGAGCGGAACCACATGAATGTTTCGTCCTTCAGAACACACCAACGCCTGCGCCACGGGATCATCAAGCCAGCTATGGAAGAGATAAAGAAGATTTATACTTTTATACAGGTCTCAAGATGTCTTTCAATTATTTAAAATATGACAAAACAAGCTTTAAATTAAGCCACAAAACAATCAAGCTAAAAATGTGGTAAACTGGCATCTTATTTCTTATCTTAAATCATTCTCTAAATTTTTATTTAGTCATTTTTATTTAAGAACCCAGGTTCTCACAATCTTGGAAAACTTGTGATAAAAAGTGTGATTTCTAGACCTGTAAAATCAAGGAAATTTCAATAATGAATATTTTTCTAGTTATAGCAAACTCGAAAATATTTTGTTGGGTAGAAATTGTCATTTGTCTAAAAAAAAAAAACTATATATATATATATATATATATATATATAT